TTCAAACAGATTAGTGATGGCATCTTTCTACCTATTCAGTTAAATTTCTTGCTCTTTCATCTTGTGTCCTTTATTTCTTTAGAGTGGATTTCCAATTTGTGACTTTGCTCCAAGAAAATCCTGGCATATTTGAGAGAAATGGTGTTAAAGAAATATTTTCCCCATTTATGTTTAATGTTGAGATATATATATATATGTTCTAAAACAATTAAAATATCATCTTGCATCATTATCATTACTTAGTGCTTATAAAACTGCTCAATACTATCCAGTCAAATCAGCGCAATGGGACAGAAAGATTGTTTATCTTGTACTCTAGATTTAATGCATAAATGAGCATAGAAAGAATTTCTAAAAAGTATTTATTATATATGGTGGAGAATAGAAGTATCAAGGTCTGCAGGCCATAAAGTAGTCTGTCACTGAGTTATTAAAACTCTTGTGGAGGCCATTACTGATAAGGTAAACGGTAATAATAAGCTTTATGGATTTCAAGTTTTGTCTAGCCTTTGCTGAACCACCTCTTGGGTCTAGCTCAGCTCTGGAGTTTTAGCTTTCTATACAGAATTGTAGCAATTTATGTGAAAAATATAACGAGCTGTTCTACTGACAGCTCAGAAAGGAAAAAAGGAAACAGTGAAATTTAATGGCAAATATGTGCTACTTAATGTACTGTATTTAAGTTTCAGATGACTGATTTTACACAGCCAAGTGAGGTATATCCTGACAGCCTTGCAAGGTTCCTGAAGCTGTTGCACCCAAAAATGTGTCACTGAAACATAGATAATTTTTTTGAGGATATTTTGGTGAAGGACGGAGAGGGGAAGGAAAGCCTGAATTTTTTGTAAAATCAGTAGACTCAGAATTTCAGAATAAAACAGAACTCCTCAGGCATCTGTAGAAATAGTAAACTAATGTGAAAAGAGAGTTTCACTGGTGAAATCTTGTTCTTCTTGTGAGAGACATGGATTTAAAGCTGTAATGCCCAAAACAACTATAAGGTTGAAAACCATGTTTGCATCGAATGTCAAAAATAATCACAAAATGCTGTATGCAATTATCTGTGTTTGTCTATGAACACTGGTTTTCAAAATTGATACAAAGCATCACTCAGATTACTACTTTGTAAGAAATTTACACTGAAGTGTTTTATCTTATAGATCATCTTTTGTTAACTAGAATGCTAAATCATTGCTGATTTAGTCAAGGTCAGCATTGGATCATTCTCTCTATTGAACATGTTTTCTGTGACATAATCACCAGACTTAGAGGTTAGGAAAATAATACTTGGGAAATACTGTTTCTTGTTGTGATGGCCTTTGTCTAATGCTGCCACCTTGCAATAAGAGTGGTTCTCAGTTGACATGTCCTTCATTTATTTTTATTTGAGCTCCATTATCTGTACGTGTTGAATGTAAGATACCAATTTCCTCTTTTTTTGTTACCAGTGATGGTTACCACTATTTCATGTGACTGTTGGCTTTAAGATGTTGAGCCAAATGTAACAGGAAAAGCGTTCACGGAAAGCTTCGTTATCGTAGCGTTATGTCTAAACTGAAGACTTTTAAGAGATGGGTCCTAGAATCTTTGATAGTTGATAGATTGTCTGTAAGGATTCATCTTCTTACTGTACTTTCCCTTTGGAGGTTATAGAATGCACATCATGAAAGAAATATGAAATAACTTGGATTTCATATGTCTATACGGGTGAATTATTTAAGCAAAGTTCCCACCTAGACATCTTCAACATTCGTGACACACACTTGGAATTTGTCATTTCAGCATTGAACATGTGTTCTGTTAAACACATTAAAATGGACAATCATTTTCTGGAAATACTCATGTTGGAATACTGATTTATTTTATTTCTTTTAGGGCTATGTTTTTCAGTGTAATCTTGCCCTCTCTGAGAGGTTGTTTTGAAAGCCAGAAATCTGTCCTATTTTAATACAGACTGTTGCTTTGAAAAATCTTTCTTCTCTGCAATGAATCTTGAGATTCATTGCAAATAGGATATTATTTTAAAAGTTATTCAACAGCTTGAATCCCCTAGAAAAGGTCTTCCATCATAATTAAGCACCCCTAGTTAATGTGTGTGAAACTAGCACAAAGGCTCAATTTTTCATTTGTAATCAATGACTAAAACTTAATTCTGTGCCCTGGAAAAGCAAGAAATTGTGAAGTGATAAGGTTCAAAATGTGACTCAAAACCCTTTTAGACCAAGTAATTAATCAACTTATTGCCCATACAAAATTCCAATCTGTTTTATCCATTTCCTGATATCATATATACTAGCATAAGACCATCCTTTTGCTTTATTTGTGTAGACCCCAGTGTGGGACTTTGATCCATTACTATGATTCCTAAATACAAACCAATAAAATAAACCTGTATCTTTCAGGTGAACTTTTCCTATGTCAAAATGCCAGTTGCACTCTATTTTCTATGAAAGCCTATTGATTAATTTCCTGTATTCCTTATATGTAGTGAATAACAGAGGCTCGTGTAGCAATATGTCAAGAGGGAATGGTTTTGCACTGAGAGAAGATAAATTTAGATGACATTAGGAAGAAATTCTTTACTATGAGGGTGATGAGACACTGTCACAAGTTGCCCAGAGAAGATGTGGGTGCCCTATCTCTGCCAGGTTGGATGGGGCTTTGAGCAACGTGGTCTAGTGGAAGGTGTCTCTGCCTGTGGCAGGAGATGGAGTTGAAATGAAATGATCTTTAATGTCACTTCCAACACAAAGTATTCTATGAGCTGCGCTTCAGAAAAGTTACATGTTTTAGAGAGCACACTGCAGGATTGATTAAGAGCAGATTCCTCAGAGTTGTAAGTGGTATTCTTAGCATAGCAACAAGTTAACTGTTGTCAGGTTTTCAGTAATGGCAGTGTAAGTATGCCTTTGTGAGGTGTTTTGATTTGGTTGCACATGACACTCTGGCTCTAAAATACTGTACACTGTCAAGGGGCACAGGGTGAGTAATTTAGGAACCTGCTAACTAAAGCATCTCAAAAAAATATTTCACAAAGGAAGGGGATTCAGAGAGGGTTTCTGCAGGCACTGGTGGTAGGTCCAGAGCATCTAATATTTTTTTTAAACACCTGAAAATCAACACAACATCAGTCATAAAATTAGTGATGAGTATATAGCTATGAAGAGCATCATACAAAGTAATTTGATCACATGATATTTGCATCATATAAGGTAAGGCTATGCCTACAAATTGGAGGACTTTTTCTCTCTGACTGCAAGATCAGTACAGCAGTACTTTGTAGTTCTGACACAGTCAGTTTTAAAGAACATTGCAAAGTCGGAGTAAGTTCAATGAAAATTACAGAAAATGTTGAATAGGATGGGCAAAATGTCTTATAAGAAGAGATTTAATGAGTTCAAACTTTTAATTTCAAAGAGACAACAAAAAGGTTATGATGTTGCAGCGCAGAAATGTCTTTTAAATGTCTTTTTTTCAGGGAAAAAATATTCTTCAAGCTCCTGTATGTGAAAGAGAAAGGCAGAATAAGAACCAGTGTTAACAGGCTGATAATTAAGGGAATAGACATGACTGGTTAAATCATCTTTGGAACAAAAGATGAGGGAAAGAGGGGATTCTCTACAGTACGCTGTCTTCTAATCTGTTTTGTTACCTTTTTGGAGCATACATACTAGCTAAAAAGACATAATGCCTTGGTTAAATAGCATTATTGGACTCAGTACAAGAATTTTTTTGAGTGGAAGTCAAAATAGGCAACTTTCTGTTTCCTACATGAACCTGTGAACAAAATATACATGTCAAGTCAAATCTGTAAAATTAGATTTGAAGGATTTGTTTCCACTTCCATTAACTAACACTACCATATAATCAAGCACATTTAATGCACTAAGTGAATGAATCATTCCACATTTATTCATGAAAATATTTTCATTCTCCACTAACATATCCTGCTGTGACAAGTTGCATAAATCTTACATATACTCTAGAACGATGTCATTTCTGAAATTTATGCTGGACATTCTGTCAAGCACATGTCAAATGAACAAAGACCATCTGACTGCAGCAGTTTGAAAACAAAACAACCCTAACAGAGATTTTTCTGGGCATACTAATTGAGTAAAAATGACAGAAGAAATTGGATAAGTCTAAAATCAATTATTGTCATTCTTTTCTTGAATTCAATAATAAAAAAGTAAGGTTTTTTAATGATGATTCCACTATAATTTACTAGTAATTGTGATTCTGAATTAAACTGTAATTCTGATTTTTTTTTGCCTTTCTATTACGTGTGTCATTTGAAGAGGTAGTGGAGACTGAAATTTCTGTTTAAATATATGTTTCTGAATTAGTAGATAATTGTATTCTATAAAATTATTTCTCTGATTAATTGTACAGTTTTAGGCAAGATTCGTGGAAGCAATCAGATCATAAAAGGGCTTCTTAGCTTGTATTGAAATAAAAGGCTTTGTGTCTAATAAGGGATTCTCTCCAGTCACAAAAGCAACAAGAACTGTTTTTAAGGCTTTGTGACTACTGGCTGGTGGTCACAGTATGGAGCTCTGCTATTGTTAATGGACTCATTGAGAAGTTAAAATTTCATTTAACTGGAAACATTTTTCTTTTGTTCAGAAATGACATGCTGTTCTTTAGCTATGATGGATTCTAATTGTACTCCAGGATGTAAACAGTCAGTGGTTGATTAATGTGGTTATCCCACTGTTAAGAATTTTTCATTTTAAAATATTTTTAATCTTCTAAAAATAAGATTTTGTGCTGCTGAGAGTAACCTAACACGTAAGAAGTTATAGCATAAAGGGCTGCACAGATCAACACAATAATTTTGCACTGAATTCATTAAAAATACTATTCTAAAAGGATACAATGACAGAATAGTATATTTTATTAATAGCACAGTACTTTTAATAATTAGGGACAAAGGGATGTAAGCAGTGTCACTTACGACTCTGTCAAATTTAATGTTTTTTGTTTGTTTCTTTCAGCATAAAGAACGTCACTCCAAAAGTAGGTGATGCTGAAACTCGTAAAGCCATTCGCCGTGCCTTCGATGTGTGGCAGAATGTAACTCCTCTAACATTTGAAGAAGTTCCTTATATCGAATTAGAAAATGGCAAGAGGGATGTGGATATTACAATCATTTTTGCGTCCGGTTTTCATGGAGACAGTTCTCCCTTTGATGGGGAGGGAGGATTTTTGGCTCATGCATATTTCCCTGGGCCAGGAATTGGGGGAGACACTCATTTTGACTCAGATGAGCCATGGACTTTGGGAAATCCTAATCATGATGGTAAGAAAAAATTTTGGTGTAAACAAAATAAATAAATGGCACGAACTTTCAGCTAACAGTACTATTTCCATGCTCCCCTGTCCCTAAAGGCACATAGTTTTGTTTTCTAACTTTACATTACTTTAGAAATATGTTCAGTTGATTGTTCTATTAGAATCTCTGAGAGAAAAGTTAATGTCCAAATGCAAGTAGTGATATGAAAACATGTTGTCTTGAAAAACACTGAATTCTTGTTAGGAACTTTTGTGTTCATTCAAACATTGTATTGATGATTGTTTGCATAAGCTACTTTCATCTTGGAATTATTTGCTGTATATTTAGGTTTAGGAAAAATGTGGAATGTTCTTTAGCAGTGCTATGAGAGATTAAGAAAAGTAAGACCACCCACCAATACAATGGATACCAAGGTAAACAAAAACAACTCTAGACTTTAGATTTTCTTTATGGTGGTGCAGTGGCAGCATTTAAAGTCAACACTTAAAGATGCCATTCTAAGAACAAAGTTAGTGTTTCCCATTAATTTTTTAAATTCTTTTGGATTGTTAATTCCAACAGTAATTCCAGTTTATTTAAGTTGCACATTCCCTGTAGTCAAATATGTGACTGCATAGTGCAGTTGACATACCTAAAATTTACCATATGAAAATTAAAGATACTTTTAACAGTTACTCTTCACAGAACTGTAATCTGTCCCTCACTGAGCTCCAAGTTGATACAATGAAATACTGCCATTATTTAGGGAACCTAATTTAGAAGTAGCCTTCGCATCTCTACAAAACAGTATCAAAAGAGAGGTTTTGTGTAGACATATTGTGTTTGATGCTTTGACAGGTTTTGATCCAAGCAGCCCCAGTTGTCCTAGTAGATCTCTCTAAGCCAGTTACCTAGAGTTTGAGAGTCTCTTCAGCAGTGATTCAAAAGAGGATTCACAGATGCACAAAGGATATTTTTGGCATGCAGAAGATAATAAGGTCTACAAGAAGTGCAGAACTGTTGCATTTCAATGTTACACTGAATCTGGGAACAGTGAAAGGCTTTATCTAATTCCTTTTCTTCCAAGTAAAATTCAGAGCTTTTTATTTGTATCCTAGAGTTTGCAATAAAGCTTTAAGTTAGTATTTCAGGAGTATAAATATGGTAATGTGATTGTCCTTATGGTACAATACTACTGCTGTGCCAGAGTCAATAAAGCAGGAGCAGCATACTGCATTGTGAAAGCTTTTAGTAGCAGAGTAAGAAGCTTATTTCTTGTGGACCAAGGCTTAGATTCTTACTGGAGCAAAATCTGTGTTATTACACTGCTCATTATTTGCTCTCTTCACAAGTTTAGCTCAAAGAAACAATGGGAATCTTCCATTTGTGCAGTTCAGGTACATAGGTTAGGGTTAGGGTTAGGGTTTTTATTGGCTCTGTGGTTTTGGAGCTATTACTTCAAGCCCTTGGGAAAGTCTACAGGTATCTGTATGTTGAAGTCAAGGTGTCAATTTAAAATGTGATAACTCTTTTGGAGCAGTTCCGCATATGGATACTTTTGGTCTTTATGATAATGGAGAAACTTCTGGCTATCTCCTTCTCCTTTAACTTAAGTAATTTTCAGAGTGCTGAAAGGCACTCATGTCTTTTTATGTTGTTTTTTTTTTTTTTTTTGTGGTTCAGTTTTGTAGATTTCCAAAGTTATTTTGTGTATTAATGAATTTTAGGATATTTTGAAGGTAAAAAGATCAAGTGAAAGTAAAATGGTACTATCACTAAAAATATGCTCTTATGGATGAGGCCTTGGGTAATATGGTTTAGAGCGAGGTGTCCCTGCCCATGGCAGGGGGGTTGGAACTCGATGATCTTAAGGTCCTTTCCAACCCTAACTATTCTATGATTCTGTGTATTGGAAAACAGTGAACTCTTCTAATAAAAAGCTTTGCTATCTATACCATGAAGATTTAATAGATACCGGTGGAATTTTATTCTGCAGGTTTAATAATTTATGTTGTTTGGTGTGCTCATGCATACTTTTTTAAGGGACACTTTTTCCTGTTAGAATTCCATAGTCAAGGTAGAAAACCCAGGATATTTTACAACTAGAAAATTTGTGCAAAATACATGACAATTAAAATAAATAGCTTGCCAACACAACTTTTCTGAAGAATGTTGGCAAATCCAAGCTCTGAGTTTCATTGTCGAGATGGTATGAACCATGGATCTTAGGTCATAGCTATTGCCCAGAGAAAAACCATATGTCATTGTGACTCTAGAAACAGCAATGTATGTGCAGTTGATCTCTATATGCAGTGTCTATTTGTCTGATTAGTGACCTCCAGTTATCAGGTAGGCCAGGTTCTGATGATGATCTGACTGCATTAGCTCATGTCTAAGAATCCTGAAGGAACATCCAGATTTTATTTTTTTTTTTTTTGAGACTGGAAAAAAATTCTGGGTGGAAAAAGAAGACAAACATGCCATTTGGAATTGGCAGGAAGACAAGACTTACACCTCTGTTAGGCTCCCTATTATCTTGAGCTTAGTCTCAGAGCACTGAAAAGGAGAAGGTTGAAGTATTTATGATGTAGCTATGAGCAATTTTTCTCAGGTGAGTGTAACTTTTTTTTTAAAGTTCATTTCTCCAATAGGCATCTTCACATAGTGTTATTCAAAAATCCAATAGAAGTGGGAGAATATTTGGTGATTTATTTTTATTTGTGTTCTTTAATCAAGTTTTTCCTTAGAGAGCTGATTTTCTCTGATTCCTGTTCTATTATCCAGTGTGATTTGAAAACACAGATCAACTTGGTTATTAGCAGCAAAAATGCAAGTATATAAGATCCTCTTGGAAAGCAGTAGCCTCATTCTCCACCTTGTCCATTTCTTCTAATGAAAACAATTTGCATACTGTCTGCCTCAGAAAAGACAGGCAACTTCTTGAAATGCTTTCATTAACTGTTGTCCTTTTTAAAATACTTTTTGTTACAAATGGAAATCATATGCAAGTCCAGTATTCTGACTATAGTTAATTCCCAAGGAAATTTATCTTGATGACTTAATTGCTGTGTCTTCATACTTCAGGCTTTTTTTGTTTATCTTACCATGTTTTCTTGACTTTCTTGTGTTTTGCTTGGTTTTAATAATGTTCTAGACTGAAAGGATGTTTCTGTTAGAAATACATCAGCTCCACAGTGCAGTGCTGCTTTCCTTTGTTCTCACTTCAGTTGTATGTTTTTATGGGTTGCAGACGGATCTTGCCAATCTGAGGAAGATAGCTGTGCTTTGACTCCTCCTTCATTCTGAAGAATGAATAAGCTTTTTGTAGGAGTAAAGACTAATGGGCCTGTCACTCAAGAAAAAACTCCTGTCATGCAATTTAACACTTGTAGGCTCTCTAAACTGATGTATTTCTTTGCTTTCTTAATACCCTGTAAGCACAGTACAGCTGGTATCGTAACTCCAGCTGCTTTGTAGAGTTAAGCTGCAGGTAATGCCAGAAGTAAGGCAGAAAGAAGTACAATAACCTTGCCATCACAGGGGAGCAATGGAAAAAAGGACAGCATTTCTTTTGCTAGGGAAGGAGGATAAAAGGTGCTAGGTTGTTTTTTTGTTTTTTTTTAATTATTATTATTTTTGCAAGGCAGTGAAATGGTAGTGTTCCAGTATTTTGGAAAAAGTGTTTGTATGCATTGGACTGTAGCCTTCCTCTAGTCAGCTTTCATGTTCCACTTGCTCTTTTAGGACACCTACTTTTCAATTTGTTCTGTGGGTGTAGGCCTTTTCACCCCATTTCCTTTATGGTCTTCTATGCAGGCTTCAGTGTGCAATGCAAGCCTTAGGTTTGTAAATTTTTGGGACAGGGTGTTTCCTTCATGTATATTATGAAATACCTTGGTAACACTCGGCAACTATGGTAGACAAGGATGCAGTTAGAAAAACAGGTATAACACTGTTCAGGAATAGCGAATCAGAAAGGATAGGGAATATCACAGGAAAGCATTTCACAATATGTATATTTACTGATGTCAAAGAGAAAATGATTAACAGGAGATGAAAAGTTACAAAAGTAGCTATCTGAAAATTAGCACTTATTAAGAAAAAAAAATGCTTATTTTGATCTGAAGTGGTAGAAAGAAAAAGAAGTAGAGAGACAAAAAAGAAAAGAAAAAGAAGAAACCTTTGTATAAGTCTTGAGGCTAGGGAGAGAGTTCATTTTTCCCATGACTCCCAATCCATTTAGGTGATATGTATCTCCTCATTTTTTGAATGAAAAATTTATGGACAATGACTAATGTATCTAAATCCAGAAAAGGACAGTGGCTTCTTGCTATGGGTGGCAGCATTTTGGAGATACTGTATTGTAAAAATCCTCAACAAAAATCTTTTTCAAAGTATTTCTTTTTCAGTTGCAATATTTCAAATCACTGTGGTGAAATTCAAAGTCACTGCCAGGCAGAGGCAGGGATAGCAACTGTCTCTGTAGTAAATTTTCTAATAGCTGGTAGAAAATCCTATTCTGTGCTTTGTCTTCTTGTACCAAAACTGAAATAAAACCATTTAGTAGCCCAGTTTTCCTGTGTGCACCACAGAAAATGCAAATTAGAAGTTAAAGCATATATTGTGAACAGTGCTCACTAAGATTTTATTTCAGTGTGTCATTTTTGTGGCTGAAGGTTGGCTGTGATCCCATAGCAGAACCTTGAGAAAGAGAGGAGGCAACATTTCCTTTAAGACCTGCTATATGCAGTCTACACAGTGGGGGATTCATCTGAAGCGATAAAACATATACAGGATCATGAGCTGCTGTATTTTGAAGGGGAAAGGTTGGGGTGTTTTTTGCTTGTTGGTATTTTATTGTTTGGGTTGCATTTTTTTCTAGGAATCCCTTATAAAGCCTTGGAGAGAACAAGAACTGTTCTCAGTTTACTTTGTAGTTTTCCCAGTAATTTAAAAATGGACAGTTTCAAGAACCAAATGAAACTCAGACTCTAATTTCTGAAGTAACACAAGAGAGGGACAGATGA